CAAGCACTTCAGGTCCTCCTCAGTTTCAGCAAGCAGTGTTGTGTCATCTTCATTTGTATATAGGGTTTTCAGAGGCCTGCTATTTCGGAAGTGGATGGCCAATCCTTCTTCCTAGTCTGTCTTAATCTGAATGTTCAGATTTAGAGAAGTATCAGGCAGACCAGCATTTTATAGAAAAAGTGAAAGGTATATCCCTTATTGTGGAGTTAACCATTAGTGTCAGTGTTGTCCCTGCCTTTGGCACACTGGTCTTTACCCTATATTTCCCTGCTCCACCATCCACCAGGATACCCATCCACTTCTACCCACTCCCTTCACCTCTATTTCCCATTGACCAGCCCTTGATCTAATAGCTTCTATATGAAGCTTCCTAGGCTTCTGTGATTCCAAACACATCAGCTGCTGGTAGTTCCTTATGTTGGGACCAATGTCTCTGAAGTTTAGTGGTAATGTTTCCCGAGGGAAAGCGATGTGTCCTGTAGAACTGGTGTGTAAATAGGTTTTTCTTGGCCTGAGGGCCACATGCCCAAGGGCCCGAACAAATGCCGCCTGGTTTTGGCATCTTCTGTGTTACCTGAGAAAATGGGCGGTGATTTGAGTTCTTCCAAACTTTTCTTTAATGAAATTTATAGTCCTTGGTTTTAGTCTTAGGTCCATGATCCATTTTGAGTTGGTTTTTGTATATGGAATGAAGTGTGAATCTTGCTTGAATTTTCTACAAATAGTTTTCCAATTTTGCCAGCACCATTTGTTAAAAAGCCTGTCATTTCCCCACTTAACTGATTTTATCTCTTTGTCAAAAATCAATTGACCTATGTAGATGGGCTGATTTCTGGATTCTCTATTCTATTCCATTGATCTACTTGTTTGTACCAGTACCATACTGTCTTGGCCCCCACAGCAGTGTAGTAGGATTTTAAATCAGGGAGTGAGATGCCTCCTACCTTGTTTCTATTTTTAAGGAGTGCTTTGCTTATTCAGGATCTCTTTCCATTCCAAATGAAATTGGAGATTGCCTTTTCCATCTCATTGAAGAATGGAATTGGTATTTGTATTGGGATTACTAGGGATATTATAACTAATGTAAGATGGATCTTGGCAGAAAGCAGAGACTACCAGAGGAATGTCTATCTGTGCTTCATTGACTATGTAAAAGCTCTTGACTTATGTGGATCACAACAATCTATGGCTGACTCTGAGGGAATCCCAGAACATTTGATTGTGCTTATGTGAAACTTGTACTTGGACCAAGAGGCCGTTGTCCGAACAGAGCAAAGGAGACACTACATGGTTCAAAATCAAGAAGGGGGTCCATCAGGGATGTATTTTGTCTCCATACCTTTTCAGTCTGTATGCAGAACAGATCATCTGAGACACTGGGCTGTACAAAGAGGAATGTGGCATCAGGATTGGTGAAAAGTCATCAACAACCTGTGTTATGCAGATGATGCAACCCTGCTTGCTGAAACCGAGGAGGACCTGAAGCGCTTGCTGCAGAAGGTCAAGGACTGCAGCCTTCAATACGGATTGAAGCTCAACGTCAAGATAACAAAGATTCTCACCACTGGGCCAATTGACGGCATCAGTATGGATGGTGAAGAGATTGAGATAGTTACCAGTTTTAGTTTACTTGATTCCACAGTTAACACTCTTGGTAACAGCAGCCAGGAAATCAGGAGACAAATTACATTGGGAAAGTCAGCTGTGAGGGACCTCTCAAGAGTACTGAAGAACAGTGGCATCAGGCTGGAGACTAAGGTGTGCCTGATCCAAGCTGTAGTCTTCACAATTAAGTGCTATGCATCAGAGAGTTGAACAGTGACTAGGGGTGATAACAAGAGAATTGATGGCTTTGAGCTCTGGTGCTGGAGAAGAGTGTTGAATATACCATGGACTGCTAGGAGAACAAACAGGTTAGTCCTGGAGAGGGTAAAGCCAGAATGCTCCTTGGAGTCAAGGATTTGAAGGTTCCTCTGACATACTTTGGGCATGTTGCAAAGGGAGACTTGGAGCTCCTTGGAGCGGTTCATCATGTTTGGGAGAGTGGAGGGACGGTGCAGGAGAGGAAAACCCTTGATGAAATAGACCGATTCTGTGATTGGGGTGGTACAATGAGTGTGTCGGAGATGGCAAGGTTGGCACAGGATATAGCAGCATTTAGGGCTCTTGTACATAGGGTGGCTATGAGTCTCAGGTGACGTGATGGCACCTAACAACAACAACAACAACATTGGGATTACATTGAACATGTAAATTGCCTTTGGTAGTACTGCCACCTTCACAGTATTAACTCTTCCTATCCATGAGCAAGAAAAATTCTTCCACTTCTTCAGGTCTCTTTTTGTTTCTTATAGTAATGGTTTATAATTTTCTTTGACTAGATCTTTTGTGTTTCTGGTTAGGTTTACTCTCAAGTATTTAATCTTGTGATTAGCTGTTGTGAAGGGTATTGTTTTTCTTAGCTCCAGTTCGGCACTTTGTCACTATAAAGAAATCCAATTGATTTTTTTATGTTGCTCTTGTATCCTGACACTTTGGTGAATTGGTCATCTATGTCCAGTAGTTTTCTTGCTGAGTCTTTAGGGTTTTCTAAATATGCTGTCATATCATCTGCGTAGAAAGATAATTTTACCTCCTCTTTGCCAATTTGGATACCTCTTTTTTCCTTCTCTTGCCTTATTGCTATCACTAAGACTTCCAATACCAAATTGAATAGGAAAGGTGATGGTGGGCATCCTTTCCTGGTTCCTGTTTCATAGTAATGCCTTAAATCTCTCTCCATTGAGAACAATATTTGCTCTTGGGTTTGTGCATATACTTTTTACTATGTTGAAGAAATTCCCCTCTAATCCTATTTTGTTTAGTGTTTTAATCAGGAAAGGGTGTTGGATTTTGTCAAAGGCCTTTTCTGCATCAATTGAGAGGGTCATGTGGTTCTTGTTCTTTGCTTTGTTAATGTGATGAATTACACTGACTGTTTTTCTTATGTTGAGCCATCCTTGCATACCTGTTATGAATCCCACTTGGTCATGGGGAATTATTATTATTTTTTTAATGTATCTGTTGGCCAGGATTTTATTCAGGATTTTTGCATCTATGTTCATGAGAGATACTGGCCTATAGTTTTCTACTACCAAGTGTTCTTATCAGGGCTACCATACATAGATCCTGATAGGAAAGAAGAAATGTAGAACAAAACCTTAAGTCTTTCATAAAAACCAAGACTTAACTGAACCAGCTGAGACGGGAAGACTTCCTGACACTCTTGCCCTGTGATATTCTTTAAGCCACAAACCAAAATTAGCCCTGAGAAAACCATTAAACTAAGTAACAGATGGTTTACAAAATAAATACTATCACTTGTGAGTACTATTGTTGTTGTTGTTGTTGTTCTATGCCATCGAGTCACTTGTGATTAAAATAGCTTTGAACCTTGCCTTATCCGGAGTTAGTCTCACTATCTCCAACAAACTCCTATTACCCCAGTTAACTGTGTCAGTCTATCTCATCTGGGGTCTTCCTCTCCTGTTCTGTCCCTCCACCCTTCGAAGAATGATGTCCTTCTCCAGGGACTGGTCTATCCTGGCCACATGCTCAAAGTATGTGAGACAGAGTTTCAAAATCCTTGCCTTCAAGGAGCAGCCTGATTTCACCCTCTCCAGGATAAATCTGTTTGTTCTCTTGGCAGTCCATGGTATGTTCAATACTCTTCTCCATTACCACAACTCAAAGGCATCAATTCTTTTTATATCTTCCATCTATCATGGTGTTGCCAGTTGGTCCAGTGGTGAGAATTTTTATCTTCTTGATGTTGAACTTCCATATTGTTGACTACAGCCCTTGTCATTCTGCAGCAGTCACTACAGGTCCTTCTCAAACTCAGCAGGCAAGGTTGTGTCATCTGCAAAATGCAGGTTGTTGATGAGTCTTCCTCCAATTCTGGTGTCACATTCAACTCATAAGGTCTAGCCTCCCTGAATGATCTGTTCTCCATATAGATTGCAGACAGGATGTATCCCTGATGCACTCCTTGCCTGATTTTGAACCAGGCAGTGTTTCCTTGCTCTGTCTAACAACTGCCTCCTGGTCTAAGTATTAGTTTTGCATGAGTACAAGTTAATGTTCTGAGATTCCCATTCTTCTCAAGGTTAGCCACAATTTATTATGCTCTTCTACAGTCAAATGCGTTTGCATAGTCAGTGAAATACAAGTAGATATTCCTCTGGTACTTTTTGCTTTTCGTCAAGATCCATCTGACATTGGCAGTAATGCCTCTGGTGCCACAGCCTCTTCTAAACTTGGCCTGTATTTCTCCTAGTTCTCTGTCAATGTACTGATCCAATAATTTTTTTATAACTATTAGCAGGATTTTGCTTGCATGTGATATCAGTGATATTGTTCAATAATTTCCACACTCTGTTGGGGCACCCTTTTCTGTGCTACTTTAAAAAATAATCAGTATGAGACTAAGAGTCAGTCATTCCTTTAAAACAAAGCTGAGAAAGTACTAGGGCAGAGAAACAGAACAATGAAAATAAAAGGAATAAAATTGTCCATGCATTGTATTCAGTGTAACCAAAGTTATTGATTTGTGTAGAAATTTTTAATGGGAACCTAAATTTTATAAAATTTCACTGAAAATGGAGTAATGAATTGCTTTTTAAAAAAAAATGATAAACATACCACATTTCTGGAGACTATTAAGGTGTGAATCAAGATGCCTGCAGTGCAAGATCCTTTCTTGCCTCTTCCAGCTTTTTCTGACTCTTCCTTGGAGTTACTGTTCCTTTCCTTCGGCTTATAGATGTCTCATTTCAACCTTTACCTCCGTATAACATAGTGTTCTCTCTATCTGTCTCTTACAAGAACACTAGCCATATTGGATTAGGGTCTATCCTAATGACCTCATCTCATTTTAGTTATATCAGAAAGAGTCAATTCAACACACAATATGCATTGACACATAATTCTTTTTTTTTTTTTTTTTTTTTGCTTTTTAGGGTGGAGAACAGACCTGGATTCGCAGCAGTGGAGCTGAGACTAAGAAATTACTATTATGATGTGGTTAATTAACCTCCATGTTGCCATCTGTAGCTGCCTTTGATCCTACAAATAATCATTGGAAGTGTAGTTCTTTCTGAGTGTTTCCATTGCTCTCTACTCATTGGGGAAGCAAGTATGCAGAACATCATACCTGAATAGTTGTTACCGAAAGCCTGCCCAAGCGCATGCCTTCCACAACGCAAGCATGACCCTGGTACATCTGTGTGAAGAAGGATTGACTGCAGGATCAGAGGAGTTACCTGAGCTGTTTTGTGTTTTTTCTCCTTTATGTATAGATTTCATGACAGGTTAAGAGTTTTCCCCAGATTTTCTTTTCTGTTTTTCAAGTCCTCAAAAGCTTGTGATGCATTTGAATATCTGCTAGGTTTAGAAGCATGTTCAGGAATGCTTGTGAAATAAATTCCAGGATGGAAGAAAGGAGCTTAACTGCCTTCAGAACATAGCTTAGACAGGATTGATGCCTGGCTACTGAAAACTTTACTGAGTGTTAAATGCTTTGAGCCTTTTGGGGGTGGGGGTGGGGTTACTTTTTTATTTTGTTTTGAAAATTGAGATGAAGTTAGTTAAGGGGGGAAAGTCTGGAAACTACTTTTGCTCTTTCTTATGAGACAAAGATTTCTATTGTGTGAAAAGAAGTACTGTTTAAATTAATTGACTAGACATAATTTTCCTCGGGAATACTGCCTCCCACAGACCAGCTTGTGGATATTTAAATTGGTTTTCATGTAACCATTCATAGGCATTTTGTTTTATAATATTAATTATAATTGATCAATGCATTTTATCACATCTTATCAAATCCTCATTGAACCTTGCTTTTTCCTTCCCTCTAATTGTCCTTCCATTAATTTATGCTGCCCTATTTTTTTTAGTTGGTTGTTGTTTTCCTCCTTCCCCTTTTTGCCCCACCTCCTTCTCTCCTTCTCCCTTTCCACTTGAACAGTTGTACATGTCCTGTTTCAAGTTGCTAATTGCAGTATTCATATTATCTGTTCATCCAGGTTGGTCCTTTCTTTACAGTGTTCATTGTCTATACATTCTATTTCTGTTCTCTCCGCCTCCTCACAATCACCCTCCTATTTTCACAGTAGCAGTCTTATGCAATATTTATCCTATTGTGACAGCATTATTTTATTCAGCATAATGTCCTCTGGACTCCCTCAAGTTGTGTAGTAGTTAATGCATTCTTCTTTTTTAATGCTACATAGTATTTAATTGTGTGAATATTCCACATTGTCTCTCTATCCATTTGTTTGTTGATGGGCATTTTAGCTGATTCCACCTTCTTAATATTGTGAAAAATGTTTCAATAAACATAGGTGTACATAATATCTATTCATGTCTGTTATTTATTTGGGGTATATTCCTCATAGTGAAATAGCTGGGTCATAAAGTGCACCTTATCCAGGCCATGATCTTTGTATGCATTAGAGAGTTGGACTATGAATAAGGATGACAGAAGAGGAATCGATGTTTTTGAGCTGTGGTCTGAAGAAGAGTACTGAGCATACCATGGACTGCCCAGGAAACAAACAAGTCTGCCCTGAAGTGGGTGAAACCAAGTTTCTTCTTAGAGGTAAGGATTTTTAAGCTCCCTCTCACATATTTTGAGCATGTTGCCCAGAGGGACCAGCACTTGGAAGAAAATATGAGGCTTGAATGAATGGATAGACAGTGCACGAGAGAAAGGCCATGAATAAGATGGACTGACACAGTGACTGGAGTAAGTGGGGCAAGTGTGTCAGAAACAATGAAACTGGCTCAGGATAGGGCAGGGTTCTAAGCTATTGTGCATAGTCACGCTGAGAGCAAGCAATTGGAGAGCACATAGCAACAACAGCGGATTTCTATAATCACCATTTTCCCCCATGTTTATTGTTTCTGTACTTTATTCAGAATAAAGGCAGAACAATTGTGGTTTTTAAAAATTTATTTATACAATCAAATACAACCTTATTTATGTCACTGTGTTGTATATTTTTGCCTGTGTTTGCAAATTTATTTATGTCATAAGTTGTTTCTATATTGTCTCTAGTGACATTTAAAGACTTTTTTTTACCCCTGTATCTCTAAACCACACCGAGTTGTTTTTTGTGTATGGTTTGAAGTGTGGATCCGATTTCAGTTTTCTGCAAGTAGATGTCTAGTTTTGCCGGTACCATTTATTAAAGAGCCTGTCATTTACCTATTTAATGAATTTTGTTTTCTTGTGAAATATCAATTGACCACAAGTAGATGAGTTAGTTTCTGGATTCTTGATTTTATTCCATTGATCTATGTGTGTCTGTCATTCTACCAATACCATGCTGTTTTGGTTATGAAGCTTTTTCAGAAAAGCTTTGCTTATTCTGGGTCTCTTTCCTTTCAAAATAAGATTGCACATTGCCTTTTCTATCTTCTTGGAGAAAGAGGTTGGTGTATTTTTTGAATTGCTACATTTTACATGTAGATTCCTTTTGGTAGAATTGTCATTTTTGCTATGTTCCTATCTGTGAACAGGGAACATTTCCACCTCCCCCCCCCTTTAAGTGGGCTTCTTATTGTTTCTTGTAGTAATGTTTTATAGTTTCCCTTACATATGTCTTTTATTTCTCTAGTTAGGTTTACTCCTAAGTATTTAATCTTGTGGTTGGTTACTGTAAATGGTAGTATCTTTTCCATGCTTTCTTTGTTGTAAAGAAATCCAACTGTATTTAATTTGTTGATCTTGTAATCTGCCACTCTGTTAAATTGATCTGTTAGGTCTAACAGTTTCTTTCTTGAGTCATTGAGGTTCTCTGTGGATATTATAACATTTGCATATAGCAATAGTTTTATCACTTCTTTGCCAATTTGGATGCCTCTTATTTCCTTTTCTTGTCTTATTGTCCTAACAAGTATTTCCAATACAGTATTCCATGTTATTGTTGTTCCTGCTTTTGTTAGGTGTTGTCAAGTCAAGTGTAACTCATAATTACCCTATGAATGACAGATCTGAACCTTCCCCTTTTCTATACTGGCCTAACAATCTCTGACACACTTAAACCCATTGCTGCAGTCACTCTGTTAATCAACCTGGTTGATAGTCTTCCTCTCTTTTGATCCTCCTCCATCTTTCCAAGCATGATGTCCCTCACTTAAGGAATAGCTTTTCCTAGCAACATGCCCAATGTATGTGAGGTGAAGCTTTGCCTCCAAGGAGGCTCTTTATGCACCCTTCTCTGAGATATATCTGTTTGCTCTTTTGGCAGTACATGGTATATTCAGTACTCTCATCCAGTGCCACAACCCAAAGACATAAGTTCTTCTGTCATCCTTACTCACTTTCCAGCTCTAATATGCATAGCAAATGATTGAAAAGACCATGGCCTAAATAAGGTACACCTTACTCCTCAAGCTAAAATTGTTGCTCCTCAATAATTTGAAGAGGACCCTAACTGTAGACTTTCCTAGTCTCCTGATATTACTAAGTGTATTGACTGTGGATCCAACCAATAAGTAGTAAAAAAATCTTTCCATCATTTCTCCATCTGTTATGATGTTGCATGTCAGTCCAATGGTGAAAATTTTTGTTTTCTTGATGTTGATATAGAACCCATATTGAAGGCTACAGTCTTTGATCTCTGCAGCAAACACTTTAAGTCCTCCTCATTTTCAGCAAGCAAGGCTGTGTCATTTGCATAACAAAGGTTACTGATGATTCTTCCTCCAATCCTAATGCCACATTCTTTTGCAGAATCCAGCTCCTCGAATATGCAAGAAAGCAGTAACAATGGAAGGAAGCATTTTTCACCCTTCCTCTGTCATCATCCTTCAGGTAGACATCTACTCTGAAGAGTTTAGGGCAAGCAAGCCTAGTTCTAAATCATGCAGTGTTCCCTTGTTCTATTCATACAATAGCTTCTTAGTGTAGGTATAGTTTTCACATAAGCACAATTAAGAGTTCTGGGATTCTCATTTTTCTCAAGGTCAGCCACTATTTGTTGTGATTTCCACAGTCAAATGCCTTTGCATAGCTGATAAAACATAATTAGACAACCTTCTGGTACTCTCTGATGTCAGCTAAGATCCATCTGACATCAGAATTTATATTCCTAGTGCCATAGTCCCTTCTAAGTCCAGCTTATATTTCTGGCAGTTTTCTATTGATACACTGTTCTAGTAATTTTTTTATAATCTTACGAAGGTTTTTCTTAAATGTGAGATTAGTAATATTGTTTGATAAGTTCCACAGGCCCCAGGAATAGATGGCATACCATTTGACATATGTCAGCTAACAGATGCTGTCCTGGACATGCTCACCAAGTTGTGCCAAGAAATCTGGAGGACAACCACTTGGGCAACTGACTGGAAGAGATCTATATTTGTTCCCATCCCAAAAAAAGGTGACCTAAAAGAGTGTGGAAACTATAGAACAATCTCATTGATTTCACATGCAAGCAAGATTCTATTGAAGATTATCCAAAAACGACTGGAACAGCACATCAGCGGAGAACTGCCAGAAGTCCAGGCTGGGTTTAGAAGGGGTCGTGGTACTAAGGATATTGTAGCTGATGTTAGATTTATCTTAGCTGAAAGCAGGGAATATCAGAGGAATGTCTATCTGTGTTGTATTGAATAAGCAAAGACGTTTGACTGTGTGGATCATAAAAACTGTGGCTGACTCTGAGAAGAATGGGAATCCCAGAACACTTGATCATTCTAATGCGAAACCTATACTTGGACCAGGAGGCAATCATCAGAACAGAGCAAGGAAACACTGCGTGGTTCAAAATTGGGAAGGGTGCATGCCAGGGATGTGTCCTATCTCCAAACCTTTTCAACCTGTATGCAGAACAGATTATCCGGGAGGCTGGGCACTATGAGGAGAAATGTGGGGTCAAGATTGGTGGAAGATCTATCAACAATGTGCATTATGTAGATGACACAACCCTGCTTGCTGAAACTGAGGAGGACCTGAAGTGCTTGCTGCAGATGGTCAAGGACTGCAGCCTCCAATATGGTTTGAGGCTTAATGTCAAGAAGACAAA